TAGCTCCATTTTCTGCCTTTAAAAGCACACACAACCCACAATTCCTCTATTTGCTCCAACGAAGGGCTAACGCTCGAAACATCAGCTTTTGTAATCATTACAGTGGCCAATTTACCATTTCAGCTTTGTTGATATATCCAAATTATTTCGTTACCCCCACTGACGCAGCCCCAAACAGTTTCTTTAGAAACTATCAGCCTTTATTCATAAAGTTATTCTGTTTTCATTCAAGATGGGGGTTTCAAAAGTTTTAAGAATTATATCAATTCAGCTAAATAAACAAAATGGACTGGTTAGGATGTCAGAACCTACTTCTCTATTTATTAACTATTGCTTTGAAAATATGGCTTTGCATGGGCCTGTTGAGCTACCAAGACTTCAGAGAAACAGGCCCCTGGACAACTTGGATAATATTTACTGTAGGTGCTCTTGACCAATAGAAGACTTGAGATATCAGTTGAGTTTTAGTTGATACTCAACCAATGTTGGTCGACACTCAGTCAATATATTTACTGATATATCAGTCAAGAGCACCTACAGTAAACATAATCCACCAAATTTTCTATTTAACCCCCTACTGTATTGTACATGGAGTTCTTGGATAAGAGAAAACAATGACAAAAGCAATGGATTGGATTTAGGACTTTGGCTTTCTTTTGTAAGAGTGTTCGGTTCTGCAGAAGTCTTCCCAAGGTTAACCCTGTTAAGGAAACTAAATAATGCTCATCAAAGCGACTTAATTGGTTGTGCAATGGCTTCCACACCCCACCCCTGAGGACGTATGAGGTGTTTACTGTTCATAATTACAGAGTCGTGCCTGAGAATTTTGCTCATGGAAAAGAGGCTCTATTAAAATTCAATATTTAAGATCATTTTGGGTCACTCTTTTTTTTTTTTTAAAAAAAAAACAAACATTACATGTCAAGAACTGAATGAAGTCAAGATCAGCGAATGACGTAAACAAGTAAGCTTAATTTCCTATACTGACCTCACCTGTCCATTGCGATAGAGCTCGACATTTCAAGTACACAAATTTGCAGACATTAACCTTGTTAGAAAGATGGCGCATACTTTTCTGGAGATGTAGTGACAAGTTCTGCCACAATAAGTCCTTTAGAGACAACCAAATGTACTTTCATCTCTATGCTAATACTGAACTGGCAGATTCGTCCGCCATTTTGTCAATCTCGTTCCAAGAGCTCACGAAGAGCTCACACTTTCTCGCAAGGTACCAGGCCTAGGGGAGCGTGACCATTTTGCAAAGAGTGGTCCGTGTTCGCGTAAATTAGCTAGGGCTAGCACTCGCCCCCGGGATTCGTCATGTACTGTGAAGAATTAAAGTTTTCGTTAAGAGTTGGCAGATCTTCGACTCGCTGCGTTTCGCGGAAGTAAATTTTTGGCCAAATATGTCTCTTTCGCTCGTCACATAATTTTTGTCACGCAACCGTTACCATAAAAATTACCGGCTGAGCCAATCTTGAATGAATTGCAAAAGCTGTTTTGGGTTAAACGCTAAGATCTTCGTAAAGCGATGCAAAGCGAATGACTCATTCATAGACCATTAAAGATTGCGCAAAGCAAGGGCCACAGGTTTCTCAGTCTACGACTGTAAAGTGCTTCCGTCCTTAAAAAGTAATTTATTTTATTTATCCATGAGCGCTATTTTCCACGCTTCGTAGTTGGGTCCAGT